ACCAGTTTTGATGTGCTCGTTCCCCACCTCACAGCTAAACAACCTGTCTTTTTTTTTCTCTTGTGGTACCTCAGGTAGACATCTGTGGAATTTGATCTGTGCTTGTGGGAGAAACAATCTAGGCTTTTCTTGTGATGCTGAAGTATTTTGATTTGGTGCTCTCTGTACTTTGGTTCTTGGAGATTTTTTTTCAGATGGAGCTGTTCTGGAGTCCTGTGGCACAGTTTGACCAAGCTTGTGCAGTTTTGATGATATCCAAATGTCCTGTAACTCACTATGCTGGCATGATAACAGCTCTGGCTGGTTTTGATTATTTTGTTGATAGCGTTCTTCTTGTGGCTTTTTTTTGTGTCTTGGTTTCCATGGTACAGCACTGCCTTTTTTATTTGTTGGGTGCTTTTGCTTTAACAGTAAGGAACTGTAATTATTCCTAAAAAATAGAGATTCTTTTTTCTGCAGCATATCTTGGTTACATTTTGGCTGTCTTTCATGTGATATTAGATTAAACAGCGATGCCTTTATGTCATGCTTCTGCTCTGGATTTGTCTGGTTTGATTCAATCAGGGCCGCAAGTTGAGTTAGTTGTGTGGCTACATCCTCTTCATCCTGACTGTGAATTCCTCCTTCTTTAATCAAAGAACTAGCTTCCAAGTTCAAATCATTGCAGGTTGGCTTGGGCTCTAACTGGCCAAGAGTTTCCAAGTTGTTACTTGTTTGCTGGACTTGTTTGCAACACCGTGCAAGGGTGACCGGATCATGAGTGTAACTTTTCTTGGTAGTATATCCCAAAAATGATTTTGCATTAGATGTTAGGTCAGATAAAGTTCTGGTATCTCTTGAGGATAACTGCAATTTATACATGTCACCAGCCAGGTTGGCGGGTTTATCACGCAATTCAGAAATTGAACTTTGGCCATTGTACAACACTGCCTTATTAGGGAGTTGCTTCTGTGAGTAAGCACAGTGAGCCAAGAGCTGTTGCTCATTCTGTAAGTAAGTGTCTTTGATTTCTTTTAGTGCAGAAGATGTGAAGGAGGATGAGATATCCCTTTTATAACTATGGAGCAAGTTGGAAGTTGTTTCTTCTGTACATTCAGTACTTTCAGTTTTAGCTGGTGAAGTTGTTTCTAAGGGGGTTTCGGATAACTGTGTTAAAGCTTCAATAGCTACAACCTGCTCTACAGTTAAATTTCTGGTTTTAATCAAGGACAAGAAAGTCGGCTGGAGTGAAGAACCCTCATGCTGTGTCTCTGCCTTAGGTACTTTAAAGCCATCCTTCCCTACATGCACTTCCTCTTCAGGCAGGGGAGGACAACACAAGCTTTCTTGCAGATCTGAAATGGAACATGTCTGCAAAACTGACTTAGAGTCCTCAAAGATGCTGCAAGTGCAGTTTTCCTCTTTCATTAAAAGATTTCCTTGTTTTTCTGGGTGAACACAGCCGATGCCAGTTGTCAGAGTGTTTACTATGTTACTCAGATTAGCACCCTTCATCCATTGCATATGGGAGTTGCTTGTCAAATCTGTCCTTTCCTCTATGGACACTCTTTTCAGCGAAGCAACTGTTTCTGGTGGTGAATAATGTAGAGCTTTTATGCCATTTCTGATGGCCTGTGCAAATGATTTTTTTGGCTCATCTAACTGACTGGGAGAGACTGTTCTTTCACAGCCTTCGGCGTTTTTCAAGTGTTCGTTGCCTGTCACAGTTCCATGGATATCTCCATTGACATAGACACCAAAAGATGGCTTCTCATGATGTGCCCACTTATCTGCTTCTAAGCCTGTCATTCTCTCTCTCTCCTTAGACTGCACATTTTCAATGGGTACTGTTTGGTTTGTTTTCACCCTGTATTTTTCACCATGACCACATATACTGCATTCCATGAGTTCTGGTCTGCGGCCATTTACTGGTTTGTTTTCTAAATTTGCCTATAAAATAATAATAAAAAAAATGTTGTGGCAGTTGTTCAACAACATTTTAAAAATAAGCATAAGATTCACAGCAATTAAACCCTACTTTGACAGATATGAAGAATGTCCTAATTAAGCACAGGCAGAGAAGTTAGGAAAAAATCTCCAGGAAGTCATAAAAACCCCTGAAGCCTAAAAACCCTATCCATATTTATAACTATTTTCCCTACTGTTGTAGGGGACAGAGGAAGAAAGCAAGTGCTTGTGGGGGTGGTGGGAGACTAAAGGAATGGACTGAAGAGATAAAGGACATTAGCATTTAGAATTAGACCTAAGGATTCGATTTTTAATGAGTCTGCATAAGCAGATGAAAGGAAGGACTGAAATCTAAAGGCTTGTAACACGAAGTTTAGTAGTAATTTGATATAGTTGTACTGATTTGACTAGACCAATAATCTGATGCAATACTTGGTTGGACACTCTACAAGAATGAAGCTTGGTCTTCAGGCTTAGTTTCACGTCCTGAAAAAATGACAAAACCTAAACTGAAATGGATAGTAAACCAATTAACAGTGGCTCACCTGAAAGTTACCCTCTAAAGACTGTTTTGGGTAACTTCTGGGTTTCTGAACACTCATGTAAGCTATCCTCAACAGTATTTTACTAGTGTCTAAATTCTAGTATTTGTTTAAATGTATTAATCTTCACTGATATTATACGATTCATGCAGTTGAAGCAATCTAAAAATCTAGATAGTCAGAATACTGTATCCTGGAAAGAATATGTATATGAGCCTTAAGTCAGTATTATGGTTGTGGAGTTATGCAATTTAAATTTAAAAAAGGCAGGAACTCAGGCAAAACCAGCAATATAGGAGAAAACCAACTTCTATCCCATGAATAACATTTCTATGTATACTAAATTTTCTCTGGAAAAAATTGTCATAATAAACAGTTCTGATACTTGTACATCTTAGTTCCCAGAAAATAGCACCTAGCTTAATATAAAACATTCAGTTAAATCAGACATGGTTTTGTGGTCATAGCAACTGAAGTGCATTGGACTTCTCTGAGAAAATAACTCAGAAGAGCAAGTGGAGAATAGACTTATGATTAATCACAACCATCAAGATGGGATTGCCAGAAACCCCCAGGCAAAACAAGCTGTAGGGACCCATCTGCATTCCAGTGTTCACAACTGATTCTGAATCTGTAAAAAAACCCCAAACAATCAGGAATCCATAGCAAGCCCTAGATATTATCTCAAATTCTCATGGAAGTGCTACGTAAAAACATGTCCAGCACCCATGCAGCTAAGTCAAACCTACAGAAATTACATTAAGAAAGATACCTCATGTAATGCTTTTTCTTCATACACAGATGCCAACTAATGGTCTGTGAGGCTGAATTCCTCTAGGCCCTAGTGATTTTCAATCAATAATACACAGACTCAGGGGATCAGTGAGCTATTTCTAAGGGATCCCCAAAATCAGCTAAGCAACTCTATTGTTAGCAGCATAAATGCAGTACACAAGCCTCTTCAACCACACTAAAAAAATATTTTAAAGGTCCACCATGGAAAATTAAAACCCCCCAATTCTTTACCCATGCAAAAGCCAAATTTCAACTAATTTAACTTCAGAAAGAACTAGGATATGAAATGTCTCTTTCTTCAGCACAAGTTTATCTAAAATATTTATCTGTCCAAAAAGGAGCCTAACCATGTAAAATTGTTAGTAAAAAGTATTTCATTAGAAAATTAGGAGGCTGAGGAGAAGGAAGCAAGTAGATTAAAATAATTGCCCAGCATTTATATGTTTACAACATGACAACACACTTTTATATTCCCTTCATTCTCAGAGGGACCCACTCCATTAAAAAAGAAATTTTAAGTCTAGTAAATTGAGAGCAATGCGAGGTAAGGGGAAGGAGAAGGCCTTGGGTAATCTATGATCAGTGGAGAGGAGATGATCTGACACATACTTCAGTGACAGCACTCAAAGTGCAAAAATGTCATTACAGTTCTCTCTTAACTGTGTTGTTTCCCAATAAAATACTTTCACCTGAGCAAAAATCCCTGCTACACTCAGAAATACTCAGAATATTCCCAAGCCTGCAAGTAGTGCACAGTTGCAGTGCTGCATCCCTGTAAGACCCCAGGGCAGTGCTGTGCCCCAGCCCCCCCCGTGATCCCAACAGTAAAATGGGATTACTTTTAAAATAAAATTATTCCTCATACATCATAATTTCCACTAACACTTCTGGAAGCTGCCCACATGCAATGAGGAAGAAGAAACAAAAACCAGATCAATTGCATCATTGGCGTGATTTGTTCATATTTTGCTTTTCCACACAGAATAGTATTATAAAACTGGATATATATTTAAAATCAAACTCTCTTCCTTTTGAACACTATGTTGCCTTTTGTCTTCTGTTCCTGAACTACAACAAAACCTTTTTCCTTCCTTTCCTACCAGACCTTCCATTAGCCTTCTCTGTTCAATACGCAAAGTTACTGTTTCCTAGCATAAAAAGAAATGCAGATATACTAGCAGGGGCAGAGCCTATTTGATTCTTCTCCTCAATTTAAGTCTGGCAGATCAAAAGTAATAGCTCAGCAAAAACCTTTTGCAGCTGAACAACCCAGGAGTAATCTTTCTTCAAGTCCTGAATCTGAACTCAAAATAATGTAGTGAAAACTAACAGCAAGGACACCACAATTCCAAGCAACAGTCTTAAAATTCAAGCACGTAAGTCTGATCCCATCGATTTCTAAATCTTTGACACAAGTATAATGAAAAGCTGAAGAATAAACCAGATCAATAAAAGTAATTTCCTATCTTCCTCATTAAGGAGAGCACTACTCATATCTGGAGACATGAACCACTAACAGATCATGTTCAGGTTTAGACTCTGCAGCTTTTAGTGCTGTTAGGACAAGAGCCACAGAGTACAGTCTGCTGCAGCCACTGCTGTATTACTTACACTTCAACCAGACATTCTCTTATATACACACCACACACACAAAATTAACTCCATGAGCTAATGCTTCCAGCACACATGAAGAGCTACTTAAAACAAATCATTTCACCAGTCTCAAAGTGGTCAGACTTTAATATTTGTAACAAAAGATGCCTGTGAGGTAATGCAAAGAATTCACCAATTCACAATAAAATACAATGCTAAAGCTACCCTAAAGACATTTACACATCTTCTGTACAACAGAGCAGGCCACAGGTTTTACATCTCCAGTTTCAATAGGTGATAACAATGCATATTGTACTAAAGGATACAAGAAACAATTACTCCCATAAAACAGAAATAACAGATGATGCCCAGATCAACTCCTGTTAAAATTTGCTCTATGAGCAAGTGATGAAAAGTTGCATGATAACCAATGCCAAGTGCCCTGAGCTAGCTCCTCCTTTAAGATTCTGCCCAAGTTCCCACGAGAACACAACACCCAACAGATCAAAAAATACTTGTACTTCCTGGCTTGTAGCTTGTGCCAATAACCAGGATGACCCAAAAGGCAGTTCTTCCAAGGTCACAACACTCTCAACATAAAAGGACAAGTGAATGAGAAGCGCTTGCACTTTGTATCTCTTTCCCACTGCAGTGCAATGCATAAGTTTGGATCCTGCAGCCACATATCCAGCCCCACATGCCCTTCCACGTTGGCACAAAGCTGGCACTCCACAGAGCTCAAACAGCACAACAGAAGCTTTCTTTCAGAAAAATCTGTTTGGTGAAAAAACCCAAACAAACATACTTCTCTAACATGTCAACAGGGTGTTTTATTCATGGTCCAACTGTTAGATGTCACTGCTTCACTAAGAGATAAGAAAGCACCAGCCAGCTGAGCAGCAGCTATTTACTCCTATGCAATTGGTTTCTTCTCTCTAGCATCTGGTTCCCCAGGACACAAAGAAATGCAGTGGAACCCAGGACCTGAGCTGTACAGGACCAACATACAGGAATGAGGAGATACGAGCAGGTCAGGGGATAGGAAGACAAAAAAGCACAGGTGTGGAGAAACAGTTGCTCATGCTGAGTTCTGTGTAGAGAGCTGTATACTGGTTAGAACAGGGATAAACAGAAGGTAGGATGCTGTGGGAAGTAGAGGCTACCTTATAAGTACAAGCCAAATTTTTGCATTCCAAAATGAATGCAGATACAATAACACAATTAAGAATAACCTCCTATTTAAGACCACACTACTTCACCTTTGACTACTGTAACACAGACAACAGCAACAAGCTGTAAGTTGCCGCCCGAGGCTGCAGCCTGAGCAGGGTTTCCCAGCAGGCTACCAGCAGAGAGAGAACAGCTGAGCAGGGGCCAAGCTGCAAGCTGGGGCACATTCCCATGAACCTCACCAGAGGCACAAAGCAATTAACACCACACTTGTGTGACAACTGTGGATGTGAAACAGACTCTTACTACACCACACGTCTATGGTGGTGAAAGTAAGGTGCGTTTTCTATAGGTACATATTTTCTATACAAAGAAACAGATTGGGACCTTCATTAATGTAACACAGCCTGCATATACAAGATGCTTCGTTCCACAAGATAACATTCACAGATGGCACTGAGGAACAGGATAGGTAGCAATTCTGCATTTTAGAAGCTACTGCAAACAAAGCAAACAGCCTCTACTCTTCACAAAATGATGTGAACAACTTTTAGCGGAGAGACTGGTTTATACAGAAACTCAGGAGAAGAGGTTCTGGGACACACAGCAGAGCCTGCTCAGGATGTCTGGGCTTTCCGAGGGATCCCCTTCACTCCCAGCTCTGCCTCCCTGAGTATCAAATCCACCCAAAGCTACCAACTTGAGTATCACAGCAGGTACCATTTCACACTGGATCTTACAACAGCTGGAAAGCATTCTCTAGTTGATGGTATGGGATTTTTAATAACCATAGCCACAACAGCAAAGAACACTCTCCAAGCTACAACTTAGCTCTCTCCTCAGTTTCATCTCCATTCTATCTATATTTTTACCCTCTTTGGT